TTTTGAGTCAGAGTCTTACTCTATTGCCCAGGTAAAAGTGCAGTGTCACAATCATGGCTCACCTCAACCTCCTGGGCTCAGGTGATTCTTCTGTGTCAGCCTCTGGAGTAGCTGGGAGTACAGGCACGCTCCACCATGCCCAACTCCTGGGCTCAAGCAAGCCTCTTGTCTCGGCCTCCCAGAGTGCTGGAATTACAGGTGTAAACCACCACACCGAGCAGAAAGCTGCAAATTCTTTTTGAGTTGAGGTCTCACTCTGTTACCCAGGCTGGAATGCAATGGCATGCTCACACAGCTCACCATAAATTCGACCTTTTGCGCTCAGGTGATCCTCCCATCTCAACCTTCCAAGTGGCTAGGACTACAGGCAAGCACCCTAAGCCTGGCTAATTTTTGGTGAGATGAACTACTAGGGTCAAGCAATACTCTCGCCTTGGCCTCCCGAAGTGCTTGGATTGCAGATGTAAGCCACCGTGTCCAGTCAAACCACATTTAATATTAGCCAATAAGAACACTCTAAAACAGATCCTAGCACAAAATTTGTGGATTGCTCCATCCCAGCTGGGAATGGGTGAAGAAGGGTGCCAAGTGCAGGTTCACAGTGAGGTGTGCAGGCTGCCTTAAGAAAGGTGGGCAGAAAATGCGTGGTAAAAAGGTAAATACGAAAGAGTTCCTGGTATTGCATGGTGCTCTGAGAACACTCGGCCTGAGAACCCTCAGGCCCCTGCCCAGGCCCGGAGGAGAGTCAGGGATAGGGGAACTTGTCTGGGGGAACTTGAAGCCTGATGGGCTCTGGGGATCTCTTTGCAAAACACTCTTCTTCCTCACAGATTGTCAAGGTTGAGGGAGAAAGTCCTGGGTCTGTGGTCTGCCATCCCAGGTTGAAGACTCCACATCCAAAGCTCCAACCTAGGAAGGTGCTAGGAACCCTCTCTGACAACTCCTAGGCCACCTAGGCTTTTTCCTCTATCTGCCATACTTCCTCCATGAACACCGGAAAAATACAATCCCCTGGTGAAAAGAAATGTGTAGCATGTTTAGGAAGTGAGGTGGGGATGAGGGTTCAAAGATGTGATCGAGGACCTGACCTAGGAGGCGTGGGGCCCTGCTCACGTGATCCTGTTTGGAAATTCAGTCCTGGACATTTTCTGGGACCTGGCCCCTTGGGGGAGTCGGCATTTCCCTGCAAATGAGTCAATGCTTTGAAATGACAGGAGGGACCCCATTAAGAACTGTGAGAAAGGTACCCAAACCAGATAGTTGGGCCACACACTGTATTTCTGTCCCTTATTTCCCAGGGAAAAATCTCAAAAAAATTTTTTTGAGTTGGAGTCTCACTCTGTCACCCAGGCTAGAATGCAGTGGCACACTCACGACCACTCCAGGGTTGACCTGCTGGGCTCCAGTGATTCTTCCACCTCAGCTGAAACTACAGGCGTGAGCCTCCACACCCGGCTAATTTTTTATTTATTGTAGAGACGAGGTCTCACCAAGTTGCCCAGGCTGGTCTCAAACTTGCAGGCTCAGACAGTCTACTTGCCTTGGTCTCCCGAAGTGCTGGGATTACAGGCTGAGCCACCGAGCCTGGCCAAAAATCTCTATTTTTAAAGCAATTTTATCAAGCTATAATTTACATGCACCCATTTGAGTATACAGTTTGATGAGTTTTGAAAGATATAACTCTTATGTGTGTAATCATCACCCTAATCAAAATATAGAACATCCCCTTTACCCAACAGTTTCTTTGTGCCTCTTCCCACACCCCTCCCTCCCCCGCCCACAGGCAACCACTGATCTATGTTCTATCATTATAGATTAGATTTGCATGGTGTAGAATGTCATATACATGTAACAATACAGTATGTAAACTTTGGAGTCTGGCTTCTTCCATTGAGCACAATGCTTTGAGATTCATTCATGCCGTTACACGTTTCAGAAATCTGTTCTTTTTTACTGCTGAGTAGTAGGCTGTTGTATGGCTGTGCCACAATTTATCTACTTTACCAGTTGATGGATGTTTGAGTTATCTCCAGTTTTTGACTATCGTGAATGAAGCTACTATGAACATTCGTGTACTAACAAATAAAACACTGGGATTTTAGGAAATTCACCAGAACTGTCTGACTGGTGATAAACTGCCTGGCCCTCTGGGGGGAGGTGAAGTCAAGTAGTTGAGCCAAGTGGAAGAGCAAGTAACCAGTTGTGTGAAAAGCAACTAACAGCCAAAAGCAGGGGAAAAAAAAATCTGTGCTGAGCCTAGAGAGGACTGCTGATCAGCATGGGAAAAATGGATTGCAACATCACTGGCAGGACCGAATAATACACACACTTAGTTGTTTTCTTTTGACAGGAACTGGATGGAATTGAGCCAAAGACTCAAACCCGTCTTCCCTGACTATGTCTTGAGGATACACTTGAAGGCCTGTCCAGGCAGTAGAGACAAAGAGTTCTATATCAGAGTCACAGACTTGATCGGAGGTGGGGCCTGGGACAGGGAAACATAACCTTGGCCAAATGGGCATACAAATACTACCTGCCTACCTCAAGGGCTATGGGCAGCATGAGAACCTGTATGATACCTAGCAAGGGTCTGGCACATGAGAGTGACTCAGTACACATGTATTGTGATTAAAAAATCATGTATTACCTTTGACTTGTAGTAAAAGAATCCAGATGCTTCCACAGTCACAATATTTTAATGCATTTTTTCTTAATACACACATTGCGAGTTCTTCCTCTATTATTTATATAACCATTGAAGAATTAGACTCATCAAAATCTGGTTAGATTTTAGAAGCCGGTCACCTTAGGTATGGGCTGCACCATTCGTGGTGGCTTCAGTCCAGTCCCAAAACTCCCACCAGGTGCATCTCAGACCAGAAGAAACGCCTTAGGGGTTTGTGAACAAAGCTGATTCTTGAGCACTTCCCTGGGAGCCCTGACTCTGGGTGTGTGACTTGGAATATATTCCTCTGTCGACTCTGGTTCTCAGGTGTCCACAGAACCTCCACGTCCTCTAAAAAAAGGGGGAGGGGCAGTGGAAGGAGCCTGGGAGGAGGACTTAGGTTTGAATTGTCTTTATCTCCCCAACCCCAGACATACTATTTTGTTTCTTCATGGTCCGAGGTCCTTTCCTCCTCTCTGTGGGGTAACAGCGCCATCTCATTAGGCTGCAGCAAGGTGACAGGACTGTAAGTGCCAGGACTGTGACAACACATGCTTGTTGACCATGTTAATTCCATGCTTTACCTTAGTCTTTCCTATTCCCATCCCCAAAGTCCACTGGCTGCATTAACTCAAAAGAAATAGAGCTATCTATTTTGTTTGTTTGTTTCTTTATTTTCTACTTTGATTCAGGAGGTTCCGTATTTAGGTTTATCACACAGAAATATTGCCTAGTGGTACAGTTGGGCTTCTATTGAGCCTATCACCCAGGTGGTGGACGCAGTACCCAGTGGGTACTTTTCAGATTCGCCTCCCCCTTAGAATTGGCCCTTTCTACTAAAAATAGAGCTACTTTAAAGCGTGACTCAGGAGTCTTCTGGGAGTCAATATTGTCCCGAACGGTCTCCTTCCAAGAAAGGTGGGGCTCTTTTCTGCCTCGCCAGGACTGGGTGGTGAGTGGTGGTTAATTCTTAAGCCACAGTGGCCGCGCGCGTGGGCCCGGTTCCAGTGGAGTGCTTTGCTTGGAGTGCGCTTCCCCCGCCAGGAGCCCCTGCTCCCTCCCTTTCCCAGGTCCGTCTCGCCCTCTCCCTGCCAACTCCTCCTCCCCCGACCCCTACCTACCCGGTCCCGGCGCCGGCAAACCCCGGCGAGCTGCCGCACCCCAGGGCGGGTTTATTTTGTGGATCAGCTCTGCGCGCTCTCTCGGCTTCCGGCTCCGGCACCTGGTGCAGCCGTTTTGCTCCAGGCGCTGTGAGAGGCACACGTGGTTCCCCTTCCTGGGACCGGGGCGGATCGCTCGCAGGCGGCCTGGGTCCTCCTCCCCGCCCCAGCGCCCCTGAGCGCCTTGGGGTGGCGCGGGCGGGCCAGGGCCGCGTGGATAAAACCCCGCGGTCTTTCTTCCACTCGGGGAGGGTGTGCCAAGGTGACCCCCCCTCGCTCCCTACTCCCACCTACCCCTGAGTTTACACTCTAGGACCTCCAGAGGGGGGAAGGGGGAGACCCTTGGGGAAGACGGAGAGCGGGATCGGGGGGGGGGGGGGAGCCGGATTTGAATGCGCGCGCGCGGCTCCCATTGGACGGCGCGCTCGGGGCGGCCCAGGTGCCGCATTCCTCCGGCTTTGTTAGCGTTTCCCTTTGCAAGGACGGAGGGTTGAGCGCAGGTGGCTTCTTCACGTCCCCGTGGAGAAGCCTGCTTGTTTTCCTCGTTCTCCTTCCTTCCCACAAAGAGGGCGACGTTTCAGAAAGAAAAAAACAATCCGCCTTAGCATCCATGAGTGTGTTTACTGCTGCCTCGTGGTCACGCAGGGCTGTTGGGAAATCGCATCTTTATTGAGGAAGGAGGTAAAAGGCAAAAGCTAGAGAACTGGGAACCGTTTGTTTTCTAGATATGATTATCTGGACCTTTCTGATTTTCCTTTAAAAAAAAAAAAAACTAGAATGATAGTGAAAGAAAATGCTTTTCCAAGTAGTGCCAAAAACAGTGTTTAAGAAAGATTCAAAAAGTAAAACCAGAGTTTGTTTTGTTGGAATGAACGTGACAAAGACACCCCTTTCTTGTTTTCAGTTGAGAACGGCGTGCTACCGTTTTGGCTCGTGGTTCTGTGATGCGCTTGTTAGGGGGAAAACACCTGATTCTCATCCTTTCCCTCCCCGTCCCTTTATTTTTCAGTCCCGAGCACAACCACCAGAAGAGAGCAGAAGGAAGCCAGTTTTGGGGAAACTTGGCACGCTGTTCACGGCAGGAAGGAGAAGGAGCAGCAGAAACGGGCCAGGGAGTCCCACCCGCTCGAGCGCCACATCGGCGTCTCCCAGAGATGTGAGCCCCTCTAAGCTCCCTGAGAGTGCGAAGAGTCAGCGTCAGGGCAGCCAGCCGGAGCAGCCGGACGCGAGCCAGGAGCGCCCCCCGCACGAGCAGCCCCGGGGGCCGGAGGGCGAGCGCTCCGAGAGCGGCGTCCACGCGGCCCCCTTGACGCCGGGCTGCTCGCGCGGCAGCGCGGCGGCCGGGCAGCAGGGCCCGGACAGTGATTCACTCCAATTAGAGGCTCGGGAGGCAGGGGGAGAGACTTTCCCAGAGGCCACCGCCGCTGCGAGGCAGCTGCATTCCTCACCAGGGAATTCCTTCAGGCGAGAGGACGCAGAGACGCCCGCCCGCCGTCCGGGGGAGGACGCGTCGCCCGGA